TTTAAATTATTTTGGTGTTTCATAATGTTTCGTTCCGATATGTACCATCTTGCTTCTTGGACTGTTTTGTTTTTGTTGATCATTGCAGTAGGATTTTGTTTTGAATCCCGTTCTGACGATATTTCTAAGAAAATGAAACCAGTTTTTGAGGTTAGGTTTACTTCACTAGTGGCCAAGTGGTTATATCCTCTGAGTACTTGCAGTTCGACCTAGGTCTGAGCTCAGGAATATAGGCTGGCTGTATAGTTGTTTTCGTGTATAAAGTAAAGTCGAGCCAGTATACGGGCTGGCTAAGTGTTACATAAATACTAGTCGGTTTACACTGGAAAGATCTCCATTGAGTGTATCCATCCTCTTAGGAAAGATCTCCATTGAGTGTATCCATCCTCTTAGGAAAGATGCCCTCGTGTGCTTTGCCATATTTAAATACCTAACCTAACCTTTGAGTTAGGTCTTTTGTTTAAGCTATGTTTTCCTTGCTCTTAACCTTATTACGAAGATCCACTGAAAAGAATGACTTTTTTTATTATATTGTTGCTAAAAGTACTTATTGCACCAGCCGTAAAATAAAAAAGCTAAAGCAATGAAGCATAGATATGTTCATTGGCTACTTAGAAATTTTTCCGTTTAGCAAAGAAAGACAAAAGTAAGTAACTGTTTCCTTCCTTGTCTTACAAAAAACATTATAAGATGGCACATTCATTTCCTTGAAAAATAGTGCTCTCGCTTCTTACAGCCACACGTAGAATAACTTTTGAAAATGAATTACTCAAAAAAAGAAAAATAATTATTTGACAATTTTCTTAAATATTATAAAAAGTACATTCACAAGATGTAAAGAAAATCCTTTACTAAGCATTGACAATAGCAAAAAAGCAAAAAAGCAAGTTAGAAAAAAAGCATTAATGAATTTGAAAGAAAACTTATTCGTACAAAACAAAAGCATTAATTTATTACTCTGTTGTGCTCCGATTATTTTTAATAAGAAGTCGAAGTATTTTTCTTTGAGAATAAAACTCTGTCACTTCTATGTTTAATTATTGAATAAAATGTGAAATCTAAAAAAAAACTGAAATTAAAAATGTCAGAAGCGAAAAGTATCCTGCATAGCATAAATGGTGCTTTTGATGAAGAGAAAAATAATAGAAATTAGTCTCGTAGTTAATTTTTCATAAATATCGGAATTTACTAAATTTATATCAAAATGTTAAAATCATTTATGTTTTAAATGACGAAAACTAATAAAGATAGCTTTTAGGAAAACTGAAAAGGAGCTTTCTCGAGAAGGGGGAAGAAATTTGATGTGGAACCCTAGCAGATAATAATCCTCTTAATTTTGTTATTTTCAATTAGTTATTATTTTTTTCAACTTCAAAATGATTTGTTCGGTGGCCCATTTTAATTCTACATATATTTTTGTCACCAGGTGCTTTCCTTGGTTCGTTTCCTTGCCTTAATTATTGATTTACGTGTTTCCCACAATGAAATTATTGACGATCAGCCAATACTATTGCTCCGAAGCAAAATTGTTTTATATATAGTCACTGAGTGAGATATTCTAATGAGGTAACATTTTGCTTTTATGTCCTAATAGTACCGCATTACTCAGCTCTTTGTTTCAGTTCGAAAATGTTCTAAACAGATTTACTAAGTAAGCCTAAATGAGGCAGTTTACGTGTCTGATCACCATAGTACGAAATTTTATTTGCTCATTTCCTTAATACGAAAATGTTCTTTACAGATGTACGAAGTAAGCTGTTCTAAATGAGACATTTTGATAGCAATTTTAAATTATTTGAATCAATCAGGAAATACATAAATTTTAAAAAAGAAATTGTTTTGTTTTCATCTTGGTCGTCAAGTGAAATTCAGCATCTTAATGTTGTTCGGTAACTTAACTCTTCGTCTGTGTTCTACATCATAAGTTATTTGCGGCTGTATGATTGGCAAAAGTCTAAAAGCAACTGTATTGGCAAATGGTTAAGAAAAGCGATTACCCTACGTAAAATAAATGTAGATAAATTCTTTACAACAAGTTTGCTTTGTGAATATTACATTAAGCTTATAAAATTAATTCACATTTAGAGGTTATCTTATGGCGAAGTGTCAAGTAATATCAAGTGTTTCTTACTGATAATTAACTAAATATTCTGATAAAATTCAGGAAATTCATATTCTAAAGTACAGATTTTCTGTTGTTTTTTTTTTTTTTTTTTTTGTTTTTTTTTTTTTTTTTTTTTTTTTTTTTTTTTTTTTTTTTTTTTTTTTTTTTTTTTTGTTTTTTTTTTTTTTTTTTTTTTATGTTTTTTTTTTTTTTTTTGTTTTTTTTTTTTTTTTTTTTTTTTTTTTTTCTATTATTTTTTTTTTTTTTTTTTGTTTTTTTTTATTTTTTTTTTTTTTTTTCTTTTTTTTTTTTTGTGTTTTGTTTTTTTTTTTTTCTTTTTTTTTTTTTTTTTTTCAACTTTTTTTTTTTTGTTTTTTTTTTTTTTTTTTATTTTTTATGTAAATTAACACATTTTCCAACTTAAATTCGACCATAAAGAATTAATGATTATCTTCAAATACTAGAGTATCCTTTGAACGCAAGTATGTTAAAAGTCAACATGAAGTTTTATAGTCGTCTGATAAATATATATTTTGATTAAAAATTTCTGAGCCAAAAGGGGGGGAAGAAAGAGGAAACCTGAGCTTATGTTGATATTTTTCTTTGATTTCTTAATAATAAAACATCTTAGATTTTTAGGCAGCTAAAAGTCTCATTTTATTCTTCATAAAATTAACGTGAAATTATTTTAATGATCTTATTAAAATTTCGATTTTTGTGATATGTTTTCTTTTAACGGTATTAAAATGAGTTCAAGAAAATATTCCAAAGAGAATGAACTCTGATAACGTTTCCTTTCTCTTTTAACTAAAACTAAAGAAATTATTTCATTACGTTGTAATAAAAATTAAATTATTATTTAATACAACAGTATATTTAACCTCTATAATAATCTGAGAGACAAATTTCTACCTATCGTTCTTATGAAAAACTAAAATGTCTTGTGAGCTCCTTGATATTCTAAATCTTCAACAAATTAATCCACCATCAAGTCAGGATATGATTTCTTCAATTAGAGAGTTGAAACTGAAAAGAAGTAAAGGATTATAAAATCCTCTTTTCTAATATAATATACTTTAAACTTAAAATCCTTATAAGAGCTATATCTATTCTTTAAGTCGTTATAATTACCTCTGTTTCCTACTATGTGTAAATTAGCGTTTTGACCTTTAATATAAGTTCACGATTCTTGTACATAAGAAAAAGTAATTTCAATCCCTAATCCTGTTATTTAATGCCAGAGTATGTCAAAAATAACTTTAGAGTCATTGACGTATTTTGAATAATATAAACTAAAAATCTGCCGCGTTTGTTTGGGTAATAATATTTTTTTTTTCATTTGACGTATCAAAATTAAAGTGATTTTAGTTTACTATTTTTGTATTTAATCTGTGAAACACAAAGTGATTTTGAATTATCTTTACTTTTCATATAAGAATGTTAACTCAGAATTGGCAAAATATCAAAATCTCTATCAATGTTATTAACACAAAATTATTTTTAAACTATTCTTAAAAATATGATTCTATACTGTTTACTGTGTTGATAATTTATAATACGCGATCATTAAGACGCGATTCATTTCAGAGCTCTCTTTTTTATAAGCGTTTTTAGCTGTTCAGAATTTTTATTTCTCTTGTTTTCTCATTTTAACACTTTTTAGGTTATTGCTAACTATACTTGGATTCTTTGCAAATGTGACTGAAATTAAATCATGCTTTTATACATAGTTTATATTTTTCTGAACTGCAGAATGCTATGTATTTGTTCAATGCCTCACTATATAAGAATAAAATGCAACATTATATTAGAATATATATATATATATATGCATTTCTCTGTTGTTATTTAGACATATGTTTTCAATTTTGAAAACTATAGAATAAAAGATTTGAAAGCTAAGATTTCTCATTCTTTTTCCTACGTCGCTTTAAGTAAAAAGATAAGTATTTCCAAAATGTATTCCTGTTAGTCACTTGGACTATTAAAATAGAAATATGCTAGATTAAAAGCTTTAATTTAGGTCTTTGTACATAGATGACGTTTATCACTATGCACAATAATTTTGTTAAGACGAAATTATTTTAAAATTACTCTTAAAAATCTAATCTTGTACAGTTTATTGTGTTGATAATTCGTTCAATATTTGATTCTTTCCTGATCCCTCTTTATTCAGATACATTATGCTTTTTAACTGATCTGCAATATCTTCAAATTATATATTTCTTTCTTTTTCTCACACTTCCTTATAAGAATTTAGTATCATTACTAAAAAAATATAACTGGATTTTTTGTAAATATTCTTGAATATATCATACTTTTATACATGCTTTATATTTTGCTCTACTGTATAATGTTATGTTTTATTGAGTGTCTTATTTCATAAGCATAAAATGTAAAATTATATTAGAATCAAAATATGTACATATCTATTCATCTGTTACTATTTAGTTACTTGTTTTTATTTCCGAAAAGTAAGAAACGAAAGTTTTGAAAACTACGACTTTTTGAACCTGTTCTTATGAACTAAATGTAATGATAAATTTTTAAAATCTTTGATTCTGTTCGTCACTGAAATTGAAGTATGCTTTAATAAAAGCTTTCTTTAATGTCTTTGTAGTAATATTTCGTAATTTAAAGTGACAGCAAGATTAAATTTGAAGAGGTAGGCATAGAATTGAAGATTAACATAATTCTATCGTCGTTTTGCTACTATATCTAATTTAAAGTGTAGTATCTTTGCAATGACAATGTATTTTTCATTTACAGTACTTGAGCGATTGCATGGTTTAAAAATAGTTTTCATTTCAGTATTAAATAGCAAAGGAAATAGCTTTATAAACCTTCCATTTAGAAGGCTTTATTTTTGTTCAGATAATAATGTTGTACTTCGTAATTTTTTATGTTAAGACACTTTTTATTTTATGAATTTGAATTTCAGCTAGAAATACATTAAATTCACAAAATAAAAATCTCGAGTTCTTCTGTTATATTATTGATCATAAAAAATACAAATTTGTCATTTTTAAGCTTAATTTTGTTCTCAAAATATTGCAAATGAATTCAGCTCTCCGCTTTCTCAGTCTTTCCTTTCGTCCTTTTTCCTTTCATAGAAGTCCTTACCGGGCTCCATGGTAAGTACAACATGCTTTCTAAACTTCAAAATATTCATCTATGCTGCAACAAGGGGCATCATTCGGTATGTTTGTAACACCTCTAATGATTAAAAGAATAAAAAAAAAATAATTATTGAGAAATTTTAATTTTTTCCTGCATATATAATAAAACTAAAACATTTTACATACGATGTTAAGTTCATTACGATTTTCTAATGAAATTATGAAATTTCTCATCATCTCTTAGAATTTCTGTCTATTCTGATTACTGAAAAATGTACAAAATGCTTGCAAACGTTTGTCTGATTCTTAAAATTTCGTTTTTAATCTGTAAGTAGATTTATACTAGTAAAAGAAAAAATAATCTACATATTTATTTTTAAAGTCCTGTTATGCTATTTGAGCTTTGTCTTCGTAAAGAAGTTTTCCAATTCATTACTTTCAAATTCTGAAAAAAATTTGTCTAATTTCGCCACTTCTAAGCCTTGTAAACCATCTCTCACAAATATTGGGGAATACAATCTAATTACTCTTATACCTTTGATCTCTCTTTAGCTTAATTATATAATCACTCTCTATAGCTTTGATCTCTCTATAGCTTAACTATATAATTACTCTCTATAGCTTTGATCTCTCTATAGCTTAACAATATAATTACTCTCTATAGCTTAACTATACCCATGATCGGTTTTATGTCCGCAGAAGACTTTACTACTACCAGCACTGCGGTAATCTGAATGCATTTTACTGGCTCTTTATTTGCTTATAATAAAAATGAGTTTGTTGAATAAATGATTACTTATTATGCGGTAGGTAGATTGTAAAGTCGAGAGAAATTACCTTCTTAAACTGATGAAGAATTGCGAAAATGAAGATTTCAACAATAATCTCCAGTTACTTGCATTCCAACGAACTTTTGCACAAAGCTAAAGAAGTCTACTTCTAAAAAATATATCATTTCTTAGAAATGGAAAATATTTCAGTTATTAAAGCAATTTTACTTCAGTTTTCGAAATTCCTTTCCTTCTACTCTTATTTAAAATCATAGTAGATATCCTATTTAAGGTCTGTATAATTTGAAACTGTCTTCTCTTCATTCATATCTCATACAAAAAAGTTCCCTATTGCAGTTAAACGTAAATGAAATCATACCTACCGTGAGGAGTAGCAATAGTAAGGGTATTTTTATTTTCTTATTTAAATGAATAAGGTTAATTGCGCAGTTAACCAAATGGAAAGGTAAGTACAAAACATTGGTATAATATGGAGGTCATTTAAAGGCTGTGTGAAGTGCAATTTATTTTGAAATGTTCGATAAACTTTTGTCTTGAGGTAATCAACAATACGAGTAAATTTCTAGGCCTACCAGTTATGGATTCCACCATCTCCGGGCCTGTATCCAGTGATAGCTCGTCAGTGGAGTTCTTGCCAGCATGGCTTTTTGCTGCCGCAGTCATTGGCGGCCTAGTTGTCATGGCCAATGTATTAGTCTGTATTATTTGCATCCGAAGGAAAAGGTGGTGCCGCAGTCCTCAAGAAGGTGAGTCTTTCAACTTTTAGTTACGTTCTTCTAAAATACTCTGCATTTATACACTTTATTAAGCAACTAACAGACTCTACGCAAAACTGTGTTTTGATTAACAAATATTTATATGAATTGTAGTAAAAGGCGTAGAGTTACAATGATTATTTTATGAGCTCAAAAAAATCACATATAAATAATGCTAATGACATAGTTTCACTTTAAAATAGTGCACGTGTAAGGGCTGGATAGGCCAAAAAAAATATACAAATGAAATAAGTGTCTGTTTAAATATTATTTTTCAGATCGTAAAAGTCGTCCTTGTGTAATAATGATATTTACTTACATGCTATTATATCGGAAAAGTAAGAATTTTCTGAATTTAATCTGTAATTTTCACAAGCATTCTATCATTGCTTCAAATATTCGGGTGAATTTTATCTGGTCGTGCACTGAGTAATGTATAATACCATAATTCTTTCCTTAGTGAAAACAATAATGCCTTAAAAACAATATTAGGGGTAAACGCGTCTAATATTTATTCTATGCTCAATTAAATTCTTGATGTCAGTTTTCTATGTAAAATCTAACGCAGTTAGTTTACTGAGTGGTTATGATTATTGACAATCTGGCAACAATGAACGGAATGGACAATATATACCAGATTGTGATGATTCAAGTTATTAAATTTTATGCCTATTTTTTGTTCGAATTCATGAGTTCCCTTTTATTTCCTGCTTGTCTTATGAATGCATAATAGCTAACAAATGAATTTTTTTAATATCAGTTAAATATGTTACCTTCCAATTGCATGAGCATATGCTTATGTTGCACCATTCATGTTCGTTTTTTGTCATATTACATTTTCAGGAGAAACAAGGCCTAATTTTAGTCATATGCTTGCGATATATATACCAGTTTCTTTTACGTAATATTACAGATGAAATGTTTCTCTCATTATAAAATATTTTGGTTAGATGAAACAAATATTCATAATGTTTTGAATTTGACACTATAATGAACAAAAATTTCATTTCCGGTCCATAATATATCGGAAATCATCAGCTAGATAGTCTAAAACTGCAAAAAAAAAGGTTTGTGATATATTTGGCTGTAGTTAAAGAGGTCTAGGGGCTCAGTTCCCAAAGTAAATCTTTGACGGCGACGATCCACCTAAGCCATATAGAAACTGCAAAGAGTAGATGGGGCATCTGCATTGCAGTATGCAGCGACATCACTTTCCTCAAATAAAACAAAAATGCATAAATGAAAGCAGAGTGGGAACCTACTACTTTTCCCGTATGTTAACAGTTGCAACCCATTTCTGTTAGCCCATTCCTGCAGCTACAGCATACCCTCCTTATTTTTGCCTATAACATCCCTTCTCGTGAATAGGCATTCATATTCCAAAACCGCTAACAAACGGAAACATTGTCATGTCGAGTCGATAAATAGTACGTTCTTCCTTTACTCTGCATGTATACGATAATCACAAACGTCAAAACCAGAATCTCAAACAATGCCCACTGGCATGGTAGCTGCTGCTTTTAATAATGCGAACAGAAGACCAGTAGACAGTAAAGTAAGTGCCTTCCTTAGTGAAATGGTTGAGCACTAGACTCAAAGCAAGCTTTCTTGTCTGCAGACAACAGCAAGTTAACAGCTCCATTCCTCCTCCAAACAAAGCTCTGCAATAAATAGTTATGTTAGAAGGTTTAGTTAGTTTGAAAATAGTTATGTTAAATGTGTGAGCTATTACTTGCCTGAATACTGGGCTTTACACCCAGCTCTGGAAAGATAATGTAGTTAATACTGACTTAGAAGCAAGTAAGCATAACGAGAAGTAATGAAAATTTTTTTTATTTTTAAATATAGGAATAACATGTGAGTACGTACATAAGGAGTGCCTGTTAATTTGCCTCAGAATCACGATCAGAAATTGATGCTGAAGGATTAATGGCAGTGTTACTATTAATTTTTTTTATCATTCTATAGAATAGGCCTGAAACTACGATGAAAACGTAATAAGAGAGGATAAAATTTTGCAGAGTTTTATCTAATGTTCTTCAGCGATATTAAATTCAGATGAAGTTAGGTTTCCTGAAATAAATTTCAAAATATATTTCAGGTTTATATACTAATCTCATTTCAGGTTTGTTTTCTCGAAGAATATGTTATTTCGGAGAATAACGATTGAAATATCGTTTTGTAAACAATTTATATGAAAACCTTCTGGATCGTATTTGAAGGAATATTTTTTATAGAAAATACACTCCTCAACAGCGAAAACTCCACTGCTAAAGTTAATGAAATTGAAAAATCTGTAGAAGAAAATTTGTTTAAGTTTATCGATTTTAAGGAACTGATTTGTATGCTAGGATAGTCCGAATTCAAATTCCCTTAAAGAAAGAGGTAAATAAAAGTTTCGTATTTCTATCTCAATATTTGTTTTTCTGCTTTGTCCATGATTTTGGTCTCTTACTTGAAAACTATCTTGTAAGAAAAACCTATTTGCTTTTTGTATTAAATTTTGACTTGTATGTTCAAAGCCCAAAACTAAAAAAATCTGATAAAAAGTTATAAAGACTTTTAATTAGTTTTTCCAGTTCAGAATATTCTCTAGCCATTTGTATGAGAGCCCATTAGAATTAATAAACATGACTTAAATCTAGTTTCCGAACACTCAATTAAGTACATTTTAAAGCATATAATCTGGAGTAAGTAAATAAATGATGTTTTTTCTAATCAGTTTCAAATCATTACCATTTCTAAAGTTTCGTCCGTCCAGTTATTGTTTAAACAGTAACTGATTAGTTTTTTTTTTTTTTTTTAAATAAAAGATACTTTTTTTACAACTTTGTTGTTTATTCTTCGGCTAATAGAGTCGTTAGTTCACAAATCTACTACGTAATATGCTTTTTACATTTTAGTATACTTTTTTAATAGATTCTCCGTTTTCTTTAGCAGGAAAAAATGCGTAATGAAATTACTTTAGAAAAAAAGTTCCTCTAGAAAACAAAGAAAAGTCTATTTAATTTTTAACGTACTTTAAAGCTTTTTAAATAACCTGCATATTACCTTGAATTAAAACAAAATATTCGACTTGAAATTTTTCTTTTGTTTGCTTAATTCGTGCTTGTTTAATCTATGAAGAATTAGATCATGAATTACTCTTCAACTGCATCTGCCTTTTTTTAATTAGCATTAAGTGCCAACAGTAGAATAGGTCCCAAAAAAGGTGATAGTAAGGTTTGATATGGCGTAATAATGCTGCGCTATATGCTAATTCATTTCACTTAATAACAAACATTTTTTATTAAAAGATTGCAGTGTTTCTCGTGTACATTATTATCAGTATCGCATGCATCGAATGAATCTTCAAGTCTTGATCCGCTCTCGAGAACAAATGTTCGAAGTGGAATGCTTTCGAATACTGCAGTGATCCTATCTTTGTAATGGACAAGTTTCTGAAAATTTTTATTATAAATTCAACGTATTCACTCCTAAATTTCCAAATGAGTGAGTTTTCAGTTCTGGTATTGACGATTTTTAAGGACTGGAGTTTCACTTTCATCTAATTTTAGTTAGGGAGATGTTCAATTATTAGTGCTGGACATCTTATAGCTAGTAAAACATACTATATATTAGTGACTTTTAAAAGTGTCAAAATTATACCATTTTTCAGATGTAACCTAGGCACAAGTTTCCAATTTTTAAATTTAACCTAGGCTAACAATAGTTTATTTATTAATTTGACGTATAGTTTAAATATTAAAATTATGTTCTTTTGTCTAGTAAGCCATGTAATGTTTTCACAGACTATAAGAATATTCTGTAAATACCAAATCGTCCCAGATCTGACTATAAGGAGGTAGTGTCATAATGTGAGCTGCATCAAACAATGCTGTATATATTTCATATTCTTTGCTTACCTGGTAATAAAACTGTTTCACGCTTTCAAAAGGCGTATATATGTTTCTTTTATTTTCACAGTACTTCTGTTTCTTGTTGCATCAGTGTAAACTATAGATTATTATAATACATTATCACATTATTCATTTAATAATATTAACGCATTTTGACCATTTTGAAGATAGAGTTTAAAGCTAAGCTATGTATTATAATTAATGGTCGTCATGTAACATTTACTTCCTAATTTGTCCTTCCTATTTATCAAGACCTAATTTATCCAGTAGCAGATTTATATTATAACTGGAAACCTTTCACATTACAATTAGTATTGTAGAAAATAATGTATTTCTCTAATTTTTATAAGCCTTCATAATATTCCAGTCATGCATTCTTTTTGTCGGGTTTTATAAATCGATAGCATTAATACCTATGCAACTTTTAAGCTCTTTTTGATATCGTTCTGAATTAGCTCTCTGATACTACCTGAAAATTATTTTGGTAGAAACAATATATTTATAAATCGGTATATTTTAATAATTGCTTCCCTACTAATTAGACGTAAATGTGTTTACCTTTGATTCTATAACATTTGAAAATATACTCACTGCTCAAAGATAACAGTTAAAAATTTTAAACAGTATGTTTATGCTATTTAGCTTTCATATGTGATTCTAATAATTCGCAGATAATGCAGGCTGGGCCTATAAAATCAGTAACGACAATAAAATCTTTAAAACATGAAAAGACAGTGTATATGAAGAGGAGTTTTAACAGTAATATAGAAGATAGAACATGCAAGAAGAACCAATATCAACAAATTACATGTTTAATCACTACCACTAAATGCCACTGCAAACACGCAGCACAACTGTGCGATAATGATTAGAATCCAACAAATACTAAGCAGCTACAAACATCAGCCCATTATGACCCCGTGGATGAAAGGACGCGAAGTAATGAAGGAAACCAACAAGCAGTATACTTGAAAAAGAAGCCCTATAAAAGGCAACACCAATAAAAAGTGACATATTACAAGGTCAAAAAGCAATAACAGCATGGCAGCAGGAATGTGATGTAACACAAATGTCAGGACGACTTTTATTTCA